AAATTCAGATTCGCAAAAGCCAAATATGATAGAATATTATAATGAAACCAAGTCAGGGGTTGACACTGTGGACCAAATGGTTGGTGCATATAACGTAGCCAGAAACAGCAGACGATGGCCTATGGTTATATTTTATACAATTCTGAATATTGGAGGAATAAATGCACATACTGTTCTCATGCTAAACCAAAATGTGAAAATACGACGTAGATTATTTATTAGGAACCTTGTAACGCAGTTACTTTTGGATCAAATAGCAAGACTAACGGAGGTTACTACAGGTTTGCATAAGCCTTTACACCTAAAACTTCAAAAGTTTTAAAAACACCATAAGGAGAATGCATACAACTCAGGTAGTGATACGCCAGCCACAAGCAGCAAAAGGAAAAGATGTTCCTCCTGCTTTTCATCTAAGAAGACTCGACTATCAAAATATTTTTACAAATGCTGTGAAAAGTATTTATGTCCTGAGCATAGTAATATTATTTGCGACAACAGTTATTATTTAAATTCTCTTTAATTTATGTTAAATAGATTTGTAACTACATGTATTTTTATGAAAACATAGTCTTTTCCATTTTTGCTGATTTTTGCTCGTATGAAACTTTCAAGACCGCGACCTCCGCAGGGTTAACCGAATACAAAACTCAGCCGGTATTTCTGATTATTCTTTTGTGATTGTTAGTTTAATTTTTAGTTTCTATTAATTCTCCTTTATTTGTAAAAAAATGACTTCTCAATTGAGTTCCAACATAATCCCACAAATGATAAATTGGGTTTAAGTTCGGAGATTGACTGGGCCACCTAATTACATTAGCATTTTGTTCTGCAAAAAACGGCTTATTTGATTTAGAAGAATGTTTGGGATCATTGTCGTGCTAAAATGACCACTTTGAAGGGATAGGATGCGTGTTGGTATTAATCACAGAGTTCACTTTTGAAGTCTTTATTCTTAGCGCGTCGTTCTCAAGTAAGAATTTGTTGTTGTGAGAAAACTCTAGTCTTTCTTTATATACCATTACATGGCTGTCGCCGTTTTCTTTGGCCAACCCCCTAAAAGGTGGGGTTAACCAATTAGCGACTTAGAACTCCGCCAAATCGTACCGTTCCCCTTCTTGCGCTCGCAGCGCGCTTCTTGAAACGGGGGTGCGATTTGACGGTGGTTGCGCTTGCTGGCGAAGGTGGCAACGCCGCGGAATTTCCCAAGATCCTAGGTCGGCAGCGTGACCAGCCGATGGTCGCCAGACCTTGCGTCGAAGACCTTTAGGGAAACTCAGGGTTTATGACACTAGCGATTTACCATCGAGGCCGTCGACAAATTCTTACAATGAACATGCTTTCTAAAAACTCTAATTCCAGAAACGGCTTTCTCAAAGATAGCTTCGCTGTCGTCCATGTCATAAACCGTGCTAGCCGTTTGCATGTCCGATGCGTTTTTACTTTGTACGGCTAGCCGCTACATCACCCCCTTTCCAGTGCAAACGTTATGCCTAGCCAGTGTTCCTAATCTCTAACTTAAAATTAGTTTTAAGCTAAAACTATGTACATCTTACAAACTACTTACTATTTACGCTATAAGCTTATCTACAACACTAGCAACCGACCTGTAGACGATCGGGATATCTAACGCGTCTTCCCGTACGCGTCCGTACAGGGATTCTGCGCGCAGGTCGGCGTGGCATCTGCTACCGGTTCTCGTGTGGTACGCGATGACATTTCGTTGTCTGATTCTGTCGGTAATTCGCTATGTTCGAATATGTATGCCGGTTTGAGTCGATCTATCGAAATTGACGTATCTTTACCTCTTACTCGGATTACATACGTTTTTTTTAATCTGGAAATGACGGGGAATGGTCCCTCGTATTGTGGTTGCAACGGGCCTTTCGCGGCGTCGACGCGTACAAAAACGTGCGTGGTTGTCGGTAAATCTTTAAAACACGAAAATTTTCCTTTCTCCATGCCGTGATCCCGTGATCGGCCGTAGAGTTTTGAAAATGCGCTCGAAGGTTATCTACTAATTCTATGGGTTCCGCGTTATTTCCCGATGCTGTAAAAAATTCTGCTGGTATACGGATGTTCTCGCCATAGACTAACTCAGCTGCGGACGCTGTCAAATCCGATCGGTGGGCTGCTCTAATACCCAATAAAACTATTGGTAGTGCGTCTGTCCATCGTTCGTCATTATGGCATCTAATCGCTGCTTTGAGTTGCCGGTGGAAACGCTCGACCAGACCGTTCGCTGCCGGATGGTACGCGGTCGTTCGCAGGTGCATCGTCCCTAACAGCGCGTTCAATTGTTTAAATAATTTCGACTCAAACTGTCGACCCTGGTCGGTGGTAACCCGTAACGGCGTGCCGAACCTTGCTACCCACCCGCTAATAAATGTTCGGGCGACGTTTTCCGCCTCAATTTTTCTAACGGGAACGCTTCCGGCCAACGCGTAAACCGATCCACGCAGGTAAGGCAATACCTGTTACCTCTTGCTATCGGCAATGGGACCCTACAAGGTCGATATGCACATGCTCGAACCTGGTGGATGGTAACGCGAAATTACCGATAGGACTCGATACATGTCTATGAATTTTTTCGCGTTGGCATTCGAGACAACTTCGGGCCCATTCGCGACAATCTCTTTCGATCGACGGCCATATGAAGCGTTGTTTGACCAGTTTCGCGGTGGCTTTAATCCCCGGGTGTGAAAGGTTATGCACTGAGGTGAATACCTGCCGTCGGAAGGGTTCAGTTACAAATGGCCTAACTCTATTTGTGGTAACATCGCAAATACACTTCGGTGTCACTATTTGTAAATTTCATGCGTTTTAACTGTAGCGAGGTATCGGCTGCTGTTAGAAGTTTATGTAACTCTTGATCCGCTTTTTGTGATTCTGCTAGTTTCTCGAAGTCTATTGCTGTGGTAATTGCCTCTATTCTGGACAACGCGTCGGCTACCTCGTTGTCTTTGCCACTGATGTGTCTAATATCAGTAGTAAATTGCCCGATAAAATCTAGATATCTGAATTGCCTGGGAGTACTTTTCTCTGGCTTCTGCCTGAACGCGTATACGAGTGGCTTATGGTCAGTGTACACGGTAAATGTCCGCCCTTCCAATGCGTGGCGAAATTGTTTGCGCGGCATATACTGCTAACAATTCGCGATCGTACGCGCTATACTTTCGTTGCAGAGGCGACAACGATTTCGTATAAAACCCTAACGGTTGCCAACCATCTCCTTGCCGTTGCTGCAAGGCAGCGCCTAGCGCGAAATCTGACGCGTCTACCATCACCGCGAGGCGCGAGCTGTTACTTGGGTGCGCTAATAACGCGGCGTTCGCTAACGCATTCTTCAGCTGATCTACCGCTTTTTCAGCTTCGGTCGGCCACAATATCGGTGCGTCGCTTTTCAATTTCCGCCCTTTTAATAAATGTTAAGGGGGGTCTGAAGTACCGCTGCGTTCGGTATGAATCTTCGATAAAAGTTAACCATACCTAGAAATCGGCGAAGTTGTCTGACGTATGCGGTTTCGGAAACTTTACAATCGCTTCGACCTTTTCAGGTAGTGGTTTCGTACCCTCGGCGTTGACGATATACCCAGGAATTTTACCTCGGACGCGGCGATACGCACTTTGTCGGATTAATACTATGCCGTACGCGTTTAGGCGTGAGAAAAGCTGCCTCATGTGCTGCCTATGCTCTGTTTCATTCCTCGACGCGACTAATATGTCGTCTAGGTATGCGTACGCGAAATCGAGACCTCTGAGGACCATGTCTATAAATCGTTGGAATGTTTGTGCAGCGTTTCTCAGCCCAAACGGCATGACCGTGTACTCGTACAACCCGAAGGGCGTGGTTATCGCGGTCTTTGCAACATCATCCGGATGTACTGGGATTTGATGATAAGCTCGTATTAGATCGATCGTCGAAAATATCAATTTCCCGTTCAACGTCCGCGAAAAATCTTCGATGTGCGGGACCGGATAACGATCAGGGACTGTACGAGCATTTAAAGTGCGGTAATCTCCGCAAGGCCTCCACCCGTTGTCCTTCTTAGAGACAATGTGCAGGGCCGAAGCCCATTGGCTCTTTGAAGGTCGTATGTGGCCTTGCTTTAGGAGGTTCTCAAACTCTGCTTTCGCGATTTTGTACATTTCTGTCGATAGTCTACGCGGTCTACAAAAGATCGGCGGTCCGGGAGTCGTGTTTATAAAGTGTACGACGTCGTGCTTTACCTGTCGGACGGTTGTGACGGGTCGGACGATGTCTGAAAATTCCTCCAGCATCCGGTCGTAGGGTGAATTTCCGATTATTGTCTTTACCGACTCGGTCGTGTCCCTCGATGTCCTGCCGATGGCTGCTAGCGTGGTTGTTCGATCCAGTAGCCGGCGGTTCTTCAGATCCACCAACAACCCGTAGTGGCTGAGGAAATCGGCTCCCACGATGGGCTTCGACACGTCCGCGATCACGAAATCCCATTGGAATGCCCGCCGGAGTCCCAGGTTCAAAGTTATGGTTCGCACGCCATACGTGCTAATTGTAGAACCATTCGCTGCATACATCTCGTACGTCGCCTTATCGACTCGGCCTTTTATTCGCGTGCGGGGGTACACGCACAGGTCCGAGCTCGTGTCGATCAAAAATTCCTCTTTCGAGTCTTTGTCGACCATGTAGAGGCGGCTCGTCTCCGGACCATCACTGCTTGCCGCATTCAGTGACGCGTCTCCGCGTTTCCCGTCACGAAACTGCATGGTTGACGGCACTTTGTCGACGCGGTTCCGAATTTTCTGTGATACCAACAATGTTGGTTTCCCGCTGGCGAACTTCCGCGTCTAAAACTGCGCGAACGAGACCGGCGACGGAAATTTCTTTCCGGCCGCCTTTCGGTACGGCCTCGCCTTAACTCGGCCACCTCTAATTGCAGGTCGTTTAGACGTTTCAACACCTGTTCCATCGCACTGTCCTGCTGTACACTCGCAACTTGCACTGGTTTCGAATTCTCGCGTATTTAATCCGCGATTTCGGCGAGTTTGCAGAGCGGTAAGTCCGATTGCGAGTTCACTATCGCGCGGGTCATTGCCGGTAGACTTCGCGACCATAGGGTACGCAGAAACTCCTCGTTCACCGCAGTCCCTGCCAGGCCTTGCATGTGGCGTAAAAATTGGGACGGTGTCCTGTCCCCGATTTCCTCCTTTGCCAGGAGTCGCTCTATTCGCTCGCTTTGAGACGCGGAGAGTCGACGCACCAACTCCTTTTTAAGCGTCCCGTATTTCTCCGTGGCCGGGGGGCTGTCAAAGATGTCCTGCACTTCTGCGGCGTATTTCGGCTCCAACTGCGACATCACACAGTAGAATTTCGTCGCGTCCGCTGTCACCCCGCTCAAAGTAAATTGCGCCTCAATTTGGTGAAACCACACCCCGGGCTGATCGGGCCAAAACGGCGGGATGCGGAAGCTCATCCTAGTTACCTCCGGAATCGCGGCGGAGTCCTCGGACGCATGGCCGGTCGCGGATGTTGCTTGATTCCGTGTCGTTGGCATTTTTCACTTTCACTTCACTTGACTTAAAAAAAACTGAACTGTGATCACGTCGGGGTCACCAATGAAGGGATAAAGGCGTGTTCGTTGTAATAATCACAGTGTTCAAGTTCTATTTGCTTTTTTGTTTATTCTCGGCAGCGTCTTCTGGAGAACTCTCTTTTTTTCGTTCTACCAGCGTTTATGTAGCTGTCCGTTTTCTTCGGCCAACCCCCTAAAAGGTGGGGTTGACCAATTACCACGTTCGAACCCCGTCAAATCGTACCGCCCCCCTTCTTGTGCCTGCAGCACGCTTCCTTGAAGCAGGGGGTGCGATTTGACGGTGTTTGCGCTTGCTGGCGAAAGTGGCAACGCAGCGGAATTTCCCAAGATCCTAGGTCGGCAGCGTGACCAGCCGATGGTCGCCAGACCTTGCGTCGAAGACCTTTAGGGAAACTCAGGGTTTATGACACTAGCGATTTACCATCGAGGCCGTCGACAAATTCTTACAATGAACATGCTTTCTAAAAACTCTAATTCCAGAAACGGCTTTCTCAAAGATAGCTTCGCTGTCGTCCATGTCATAAACCGTGCTAGCCGTTTGCATGTCCGATGCGTTTTTACTTTGTACGGCTAGCCGCTACAACTTTAATGACATTTTTTCGTTGGCAAATGGCAGCATATGCTTTTCTAAGATGTTGCAATACACAAATCTATTCATTGTTTCTTTTATTTGTATTAATGAATCAGGACCGTTACGCAAGGAACGCTTCCACACTATGTACACTAGGGTGTCGTACATTATTTCTAGAGTCGTTTCCAAACAAGTTGAACTTTCTCATTAGTCTATAGAATTTTTAACCACTCACGATCAGTAGTAATCCAATTAAAGTGTCTTTTAGCAAATTTCAACCGAGCTTCTCTATTCTTCTTCGACACAAGTGATTTTTTGCATGCTTAGCGTGAAAAATGTTTATTTTCATTTAAACGACGGCTAACTGTCCTGTCACTAACGTTTTCCAGACCCAGGTGATTTTTAATTTCGGAAACTGTGTAAAATGGGTCAGATTTAGAGAGCCTTGTATTCGACGTTCTAGCTTTTGAGTTGTTTTTCGCAGTCTGTCAGTTTTTATTGGCCTTTCTAAAACATTTAGTTTTTCAGCTTCTATTAAATGCTTTCCTGTTCATATTTAACGCAATGATATAAAAATGCCAGAAAGAAAACTAAAAATCTTGGAATATGTGTCAGCTGTTTTTTGTTTTTTAGTATTCAAAAATTTAATACTAAATAAAAAATGACAGTATTAATTGTAATCTTTATAAATACAACTGTATTTGAAAAAAAACTATTGTATTTTGATGCTTGAAATATTATCTCTTTATACTATTTTTAGTTTCAACCTACACATGTCAGAAGATGAAAATTATACAATAATTTTTAAACTACTGTTTCTTAATTGTTGTCAGTAAGTGTATTTGTACAGTAATCGCCTCACTTGAAGTCCCGCGGAAGGAATGCGGGAGAAGTAGAAGGGATACACGTATTCCCACGTACACATTGATCTCTCGTTCGCTATTCGTCGCGGCAGTTACATACACACGTGGACTGACTGAGAGCAAGGGAGCGAGATAGATAAATGAGCGGTCCGACTCCCCTTGCCCCTGTGCCATCCGGCGAGACTTCAAGTAAGGCGACTACTGTACAAGAATTGTTATAAGCGGAATAATTTGTACGTAATCCTATTGTAATTCAAAGTGTTAGAATCGTGATCAGTCTTCCCTACTTTATGTTTGTTTACATTTCCATGGTATTTTAGAATCATTCTTCTTACTGTTATATACAGTATGCTTAGTGACAGTCGAGTGGTGTGTCTTATAATTTCGTCTACCAGTGTGAATATGGAGAGAACACTAAAAAACAGTTGCTATATTTGTATCTATTACTGATGTTGTTAATACATGAAAAATAGTGTGTGTATGAGATATAGAAGTCATCGAAGCGTTAAAAATGTAAAATTTTATAAATATGTTTTGTTTCTGGATTATATATGTGATTGTAAAATTACTTCTAGGGACATACAAACACGATGGGTCGTTACACAGGAAAGAAGTGTCGTCTAATGACAATGTTATGGCTCACAGCTCTATTTTTCTTGGTAGAAATAGTAGTGGGTTATGTAACTAACTCGATGGCTTTGATAGCTGACAGTTTTCATATGTTGTCTGATGTAGCAGCACTGGTCGTTGCATTTCTTTCTGTAAAGGTAAGTTATTTTTATTAATTTTTGTTCTTAGAGGTGGACTCACCAACAAGAACGACTATTTGTCAGATAGAATCTGCTTAATATGAGGGAGACAGTAATATAAATAAATTTCAGAATCTTAATTGCTAATAATTAATGATTACTTTATATTAAATAGCTTTAAAGACTTGTCTCCTTAACACTAAACCTACCACTATATCGGTCAATTTAATCATTTTCAAACTTCTGTACAAGTTTTACATATTTAAACGTTATCACATCGTATACCAAATTTTACAGCTTTTCTTAAAACATGCATACAATGTATTTTTCAATATTTACTTCTCGTTTTATTGTTGTTCCTTGAGAAATATGTGTATCCTATTCTACTTAATGTGACCGGGTTATTTGACCGGTCTCGGCGAGAAAAATGGTTAGCGCGGTTTATGATTCACGCGGCAACGAAAACTGTTTTTTTCTTTTTGCTTGGATTTTCTAAGAACTCGTAACCACCTGAATAAAGTATACTGTGATCCTCAACATATACGAACACGCGAGTTTCATTATATCCTTGAAAGTAAAGCAACAATACGTTGATGAAAAGGACCCCGCACAGATCTTATGGAAAACGGCCCCGGTTAAATTAGCTGAACTTTTGATATGATGTAGTTCATTACGTCTTGATGAAAAGTTCCAATGGGCCCAAGCTCGTAAATTGAACTTTTTCCGAGATACAGGGGACCAAGTGTCAATAATAGTGCGCCTTATTCTAGATTGCCACGTTTGAGCATATTTGAGTGTAAAAAGCACTGTTGTACACTGTCCATTTATTTGACCCTTTAAAACTCAATAGTAGTACTGTGGGCCCTTAATTATTACCCCTTGACCCCCTGACCTTCTGACTCCGTTTCAGGAGTCAAAATAAAAAAACACCAAAAAGGTAAACAATGGTTCTCTTTTTCAATGTACAAACATGAAGCACCGTCGACATTATCATTATCCAGTTTCCACCACGAAGAGGTTGCTCGATCGGATTTTGTACACCATGTGGCTCTGAAAGGGACCGTTTTTATAGTTCTCTCTATTCGGTCATAAGAATTTCAACATTCATATTGTCTTGATGCCCTTTATTAGCGACATCTCTGGTCGTATTTAGAAGATTGCCATCCTAATATTTGGCATGCCTTTGATGATGAACAAATCCTAAAAACCTTAAAACACTTGCAATATGTGCGCGTGTATCCAATGTTTTGGCATCAGATTGACAGATGCAGTAGTAACCATTTATAACTTCCTCTTTTAGTTCCAGTTCATTTTCGGGAATGTGAGAAATAAGAACTTGATGTTTGGTACAAATCCCAAATTCTGAATAAACTTTTAGTCTTCTAAGGCTGTTATCTACCAACGAAGCGTCAATCTGTAATTCATTGTCATCATCTTTTTGCAACAGAGGGTCAGAAGGTCAAGGGGTAATATTTAAGGGCCCACAGTACTACTGTAGGGTGTGAACAATTTGTGGTGCGTGCGAACGGTCGGTGTCATCCCGCGACGGGATGGCACCAGTATGTTTGTGGATTTGAGTGCCTGGGTCTTGAAAACTTTCGTGAGGTATGAATTGGTCATTGTTGCGTGCGTGCGGTCGGTGTCGTCTTGCGTCTGGACGGCGCCGGGATGTTTGGGGAATAGGGTGACTGCGTTTGCAAAATGTGGAGTGGCTGAAAGAATGCGAGGAAGAGTGTTTGGAACTGAGCGACTGAACCGTGAGAATGAAACGATTAGCAAGGCGTGTACGCGACTGCGTGAACCTGGGCCATGGATGCGAGGATTTTGGGTGTGAGTGAAAAGGGATGATTGCGTGAGAAAGATAGAGCGACTGAGGGTGAATGCTATAAGTGCGTGAATGTTCGGCGGCGCGGCAGTTGATAGGCGACATTCGTTAAGCGAGAGTGTGTTATAGCGAGAGTAGCGATTTGCGTTTTGTTATTGTTGTGTTATTCTGTTTTTAATAAATTGTTGTTATTTGTTTGACGAGTCCTCGTCCCAACTTTATTTGAGAACGACCTATCCCAGCCAACACACTAGTTTCCTACACTACTATTGAGTTTTAAGGGGTCAAATAAATGCACAGTGTACAACAGTGCTTCTTACACTCAAATATGCTCAAACGTGGTAGTCTAGAATAAGGCGCACTATTATTGACTTTTGATCCCCTGTATCTCGGAAAGTGTTCAATTTACGAGCTTGGGCCCATTGGAACTTTTCATCAAGACATCATGAACTACATCATATCAAAAGTCCAGCTAATTTAACAGGGAGCTATTTTCCATAAGATCTGTGCGGGGCCCTTTTGTATTTCGTACATAGTGCATTATTCTGTGGTGAATATTTACCCTAAAAATGTCAAAGCGCTCCAAAAATATGACATTATTAGAAAAAGTAAACAACAAGAGTGTTCGCATTTGATGAAAGAGAACTTTCGGGAACTGAAGATAACATGCAAAGAGATGAATTAGAGTCCTCAGACAGCGATAACAAAGAAGAGAATATTATAAATAAGCATCGATGACAAAAGAGAAGAAGATTACTATTGACTTGAAAATGTGAGAGTAATGAAGAGGATCAAACTATCGAAACTGCTTCTGATAGAACTGTGGCGCTGCTTCGCTGCGGTTAGGACCTCGTGAGCATCTTAGGAGGATAGAAAAGGAAAGGAGGGGGCGCGTTTTGTCCGGGCCTGCTACTGGACTCGTCGCACAGTGGTCCCAAATGCCGAAAAGTTGGCCATAATATGAAGGAGTTCTTCAATTTAGCTAAAAATTTGTAGGTAGGGGTTATCGAGGTCGCTGATTACGAATCAAAAGTCATAATTTAAAAAAACAAAATGGCGGCTCCGATATAGCTCACACATATGCGAAAGAAATGTCGGAATCACCTGAAATTTGATACATAGTTACTATCGAGGTTGCTGATTACGAATCAAAAGTCATAATTTAAAAAAACAAAATGGCGGCTCCGATATAGCTCACACATATTTCACGAAAACACGTCGGATTTCGGAGGTATGTGTATTCACCAAAAGTGATTATAATTGAGCCCCGCAACCAAAAATAATTTTTTCAGAATGATTTGAAATTTTTTAATTTAATTTTTTAATAACTTTTTAATGAAGCCTCAGTGAAGAAATTGATACTCTTGATTTTCGTCTTATTTTGGCCTCTAGAATCTCCCATTAAAATTTTTCCCAGGGGTGGCCGAATACCCTGTATAAGTAAAAAATCTAAATGAAAACGAAAGGAAGAGAAAACGAAAGGCAATACCGCACAAATGTTTTATGTCTGTCATAAAGTCAGGCAGGTATAAGGCACAATTTACAGCTTACAGCAGTGCCTTCATATTATTTGATTCTTAGTGCTTTTACATGGCAAATGCGAAAAAATGTTTTAGTTTGGAATTCTCAAATTTTATTAACTATTTTCGAAATAAATAATTTTTCATGTAAATAGTTTAATGCAGATTAATAATCAATAATGAAGTAGATCAACTGGTTCATTGAAAAATATACAATATTTAATAATGAAAAATTATTTATGCATTAATTTAAAAATTTATTAAATCTAATAATAAGTCCACCCAAAATTATACATTATTTATTTTAAAAAATTTGTTGTATCTGCCACAGTTTCCAAGAAAAAACCGCGTGATTTAGTAACGCGGTCACCCTCCATTATAAAATAGGGTGGTACGACTTTACTTGCAAAAACTTGCAGCTAATTCTTGCAAATTCTGCAAGGTGAAAGTATCACATACAAGCCTGAACAAAAATGGCAGTGGGATATTGAGGAATGAGCAACTTTTTGCCTACTTGTTTGCGATGCATGCATGAAATTTTACATTTTATTTTCAGTAATGAATGTACCGGTTTAAAAAATTAATGGATAACAATTTTTAATATGTTAGTACTCAGAAATGTTCTACTTACTTCCAGGAACAGCATCCATTTTGCAGAATTGAAATTGATGTTTTCTAAAAAAACTTATGCACTTTTCACTCTGTGGTACGAATTGACGCTTACGCTCTCGACAAACGACTGACTAACGAAGCCGAAGTTTGGATCGCAATTGCCATCCAGGTATAAAAATATGACTCATTTCATTTTCCCTACCCGAAAGAGACATCCTTAAACTGCCGATTCCAACAGGTAAAACCTCCATACCGAAAAATTATTTTTTGGGGTTTTGGCCACGTTTTCACGATTTGGGACCACTGTGCGTCGGTAAGGCTTTCTTGCAGGCTCTGCCTTAGACGACTGGGATATTAGGAAGTCGATTGAGGATTGTATATACAGGGTATCCCCGCTAAAGTGTGACAGTCGCGATACTTCAATAACTATTGATGATACAGTGAAAACTCGATAAATGTCCTCAAGAGCTGTTCCATAAATGATACATTTTTATCCCCACCACTAGGGGGATCCCCCTTGAACCAGTGAGGCGAAGTGTAACCGGAGACGTAGCGGCTTTCTTTAAAAATCTTTATTGCCTTCGACATCTTAGTTTAAATGTCCCTGTCAGTGTGACCACACTACTGTACAAGAAGAAAGTTTTTTAATTTTTACTTTTTTTTAATAAAAATTTTACTATCATGTGGGGAAGATTTTTCTAATTAAAATGAGACTAAGTACGATATAAATCGGCCAATATTTGTTACCATAATATTGAATTAAATATTGTGTACTCGTATCTTCGCAAGGTCAGTGGATTGGTACATTTATCGAACAGTGGTAGCTAACGGAACCCCCTATTTCATAAGTGTTGCAGTTTTTGATCACTTACGAAACGGTGGAACCGTTCCGTTTGAAAATAGCTACCTCCCGTTCGATAAATGTAGCCAGCACCTCGATGCGTCGTTCTTTGATATTTCCGAACATAGAAAAGGACAGCACAAGAAGGATAAATAAAGAGAGAAAGACTCGCAAGTACAATATTTAATTCAATATTATGCTACCAAATATTGACCGATTT